TATCTCAGGATCACTCCCCACCACCACCATCCCTTAATATTACTGTGCCTCTCAGATAAATAAATACAATCTTTAAAAATGAAAGCATACATAATTCAATGGGAAAAACATCAATGTCTCAAAAGAAATGCAGGTTGAACAGAAGCACACAGGTTACCAAAAGGAAATACAAATGGCCTCATGTGCCTAACAAGATAGCCCCTCACTCCCAACAGGAGAATCCACATAAATCCCACAGAGGAAAGGGTGCCCACATGTGGGAAAGAAATGCTGAACTCTATACCTGTGGTCAGACCAAGGGTAGATGGGCCTTGAGCAGGCTGCTGGGGAGCATGCAACCAGGTGCAGCCCTGGGATGACCCAGCAGCTTCACAGCCACCTTTCCTCATAAAGCAATCACCATTCCAGCCCTTGGTTCCATCTGCAGGTGTGCAGAATGGAGCACACACACTCAACTGAGGAGCGGCAGGGTCACTTCTTAACAAACCCACTGAAGTTGACAGCTGAAAACCTGCTAAGGTCGGTCTCTCTCTCTCTCTCTCTCTCTCTCTCTCTCTCACACACACACACACACACACACACACACACAAACATAGGAGGATTATTCAGCCATAAAAAGAATGAAATTCTACCATTTGCAGGAAAAATGGCTGGAACTGGAGGACATGCTATTGAGTGAAATAATCCAAACACAGAAAGACAAATGGCGCATGTCCTCTCTTATAGGGTGGCAGCCAATATTTAAAGAGAAAAATGCCTGAATATATAGTTTTACTGGAAATAGAGTGTTTTGTCTCATTTTGTGTTAAATATTTATCCAAGAAAATTGATAGGAATTATATTCTGCTAGAGTTTTAATGATTTGGGGACTACTTTAAAATTTACTTTATGTGAGTCAACATGAACATCTTTTCTGTTGGTTATTCTGTGTAGCCCGTGCCTCCTTTCCTACTGAACTATGGTCTTCTCACTTTTTATTTCTGGAACTCTTTATTTAGGGGCACCAATAAGCCTTTGGCTATAATGTAAATTATATGTTATCTCAAAAAATAAATACAAGTTTTCTTAAAAGAACTAGCACATTCTCTGTAGACCAAATCCAAACACTTCAAGATGTGTTGTTGAGAAAAAAATCTGGTAGAAAATCCTCAGCTCAGAGGTTGATTTCAACCCCACAACTTCTGAGGAGATTCCAGGGGGCCGGGACCATGGTAGAGTAGTTTATTTTTTTTAATTTTAGAGAGTTAGACAATGAGAGAGAGAGAGAGAGAGAGAGGTCTTCCTTCCACTGGTCCACCCCCCAAATGGCTGCTACGGCCAGAGCTGCACCGATCCAAAGTCAGGAGCCAGGTGCTTCCCCCTGGTCTCCTATGCATATGCAGGGGCCCAAGCACTTGGGCCATCCTCCACTGCCTTCCTGGGTCACAGCAGAGAGCTGGATTGGAAGAGGAGCAACCGGGACTAGAACCCAGCACCCATATGGGATGCCGGCGCCGCAAGCAGAGGTTGACCATGTGAACCATGGCACCAGCCCCAGCACAGGTTAATCTGCCTGTGGCACCGGCATCCCATCTGGGCACTGGTTCTAGTCCTGGCTGCTCCTCAGAAGCAGTGGTTACTGGCTTCTGTCCTAAAACAAAACTATTTCCGGTGCCGTGGCACACTAGGCTAATCCTCCACCTGTGGCACCGGCACCCCGGGTTCTAGTCCCAGTTGGGGCGCTGGATTCTGTCCCCATTGCTCCTCTTCCAGTCCAGCTCTCAGCTGTGGCCCAGGAGTGCAGCGGAGGATGGCCCAAGTGCTTGGACCCTGCATCCGCATGAGAGACCAGGAGGAAGCACCTGGTTCCTAGCTTTACATCGGCGCAGCATGCCAGTCGCAGCACGCCAGCCGTAGTGGCCACTTCGGGGGTGAACCAATGGAAAAAGGAAGACCTTTCTCTCTCTCTCTCTCCCTCCCTCTCTCTCTCTCTCTCTAACTGCCTGTCAAACAACAACAACAACTATCTACAGCCCATCTCCGCCCTCAAGGCAACCATTCCCCTTTCATTCCTATATCAGTAATTATCAAAGCTGTCAACTTAGTTTTTTATTTATTGACATACTAACTATCCATATTTATGGGGTACAATCTAATATTTTGATGAATGAAGACATTTACACAGCCCTGGCCCCATGAAGAGCCAGTATCACAGCAGGCTGCTTGCAATTCCATTTTCTTGGTGAAGCCACATAAGTTTTAACATCTATTTACCCCAAAACAGCCTAAATTGAATTTCATATTCTCCTTATTGCAACAGTCCTAGAATTCACTGTGGTGGCCCGCGCCACGGCTCAACAGGTTAACCCTCCGCCTTGCAGCACTGGCACACTGGGTTCTGGTCCCGGTTAGGGTGCCGAATTCTGTCCCGGTTGCCCCTCTTCTAGGCCAGCCCTCTACTATGGCCCTGGAGTGCAATGGAGGATGGCCCAAGTCCTTGGGCCCTGCACCCATATGGGAGACCAGGAGAAGCACCATGCTCCTGGCTTTGGATCAGAGCGATGCGCCGGCCGCAGCGCGCTGGCCGCGGTGGCCATTGGAGGGTGAACCAACGGCAAAAGGAAGACCTTTCTCTCTGTCTCTCTCTCTCACTGTTCACTCTGCCTGTCAAAAAAAAAAAGAATTCACTGTGGTTAACTGCCTTGCCCAAGCTGAGGACCTGCAGCTGGGAAGTCAGAGTCAGGATTCTAAGCGAGGTCAGCATGATTCCACAGCTTCTATTTCTAACTACGCTGCAAGAATGCCTGGTAGCTGCATATTTGAGGTGGTTCCAATTAATTGTAAATTATTCTGTATTTGAAAAATCGGAACATTTGGGTTTAAAAATGGTTACCATTGGCATTAAGCAGTTACATTGATCTCTTCTTTTAAAAATATTTTTCTATTTGAAAGTCGGAGTTAGGGAGAAATAGAGATAGAGATAAATAGATCAATCTGCCATCTGTTAGTTCACTTCCCAGATGGCTGCAATGGCTGGGGCTGAGCCAGGATGAAGCCAGGAACTGGAGATAAATCTAGATCTTCCAGGTGGGCAGCAGGAGTCCAAATATTTTGGCCATTTTTGGCTGCTTTCTCCAGGCCATTAGCAGAGTGCTAAAGCAGAGGTGGAGCAGCCAGGACACAAACCAGTGCCTGCAGAGATGCCAGCATCACAGGCCATAGCTTTACTGGCTATGCAATAGCACTGACCCCACACATCTATCATGTCTACACACTAGTATACACCCATTCCTCAAAGCTGTATTATTTATGTGCTCCAGATCTGCAACCCATTGCCTCCACAACAGATTGAAACACAGTCGATGTTAGCCCTTACTTATTCCTGGTGGCCTTGAACTGACAGGCATCCCTTTCCTGAAAGGCTTCTACTCTAAAGACTGAGACTTTCAATCCACAAACACATCCCATCCCCTTGTAATGACACTGTCACCTCCCCAAAAGCTGCCCGTGGTACTCACATTAACGTCTTTGCATTCTGAGGACAGCCCTGATTCTCAGCTCTAATGTGGAAACTGACCCATTCCTAATTAAGTCAATCAAATGCCAGCCTGCTGGTGGGGTTTCTGCTGGCTCACTCGTGTCCAACAATGTCTCTCCCTGTAACCATTTACCAAATGATGCTTCACACAAAATTATCAGCTTCCATCATAACCATTTTAGGACTACAGAAATACAATTCCATCAACTAATATACAATCCTAAAACCAGATTTTCCTCGCCTTCAAATTCTCTAATCATCTAGTTTTTCCCAACAATCATGCATTGCCAATCACATTTCTTTTTTTTTTTTTTTGACAGGCAGAGTGGACAGTGAGAGAGAGAGACAGAGAGAGAAAGGTCTTCCTTTACCATTGGTTCTGCGGCTGGTGCGCTGCGGCCAGCACACTGCACTGATTGGAAGCCAGGAGCCAGGTGCCTCTCCTGGTCTCTCATGCGGGTGCAGGGCCCAAGCACTTGGGCCATCCTCCACTGCACTCCCGGGCCACAGCAGAGAGCTGGACTGGAAGAGGAGCAACCGGGACAGACTGGGACTGGAACCCGGGGTGCCGACGCCACGGGTGGAGGATTAGCCTAGTGAGCCACGGCGCCGGCCTGCCAATCACATTTCTTGCAAGCCAAATTCAATCATCGCTAATATTGTACAGAATCTGACGGGAAAAAATGAGCCCCAAAATATTTCCCCTCCCAAATAACAGCCTGAACTACAATGTCAAATAGAGAGTCTTAGTTACACTGCATTTCTTCATTCCCTCATTTCACGTTGATTAACCACATCACCAGCCATCTAATCCCCCAGAAAATGTCAGTCACAAGAAACGCAGCAACAATGACCAGCACCCACAGCCCTCCATAACGACATAATCGCCCACAAAACAGACTCTTCCCCAAGACCTCAAAAAATCAATCTTCTGAATTTTTAAAATTAAAAGAAATTTCTACCCCATCATAGTTCACCATTCATATAATTTATTCCATAAACAATCCTAAAATCTATGACTCCCAAATGCCCACACTCGGCCCCAAGTTCCAGGAGACTCTCCCGTAGCGTTACAGTGAGATAACCCAAGAGAACCAAGATACCCCTCAGTCACAAACACTGTTCACCCTGAAAACGACCCCAAACTGAACCGACAGCACAACCAACGCTCCACGGACAACATCCCAGACCCCACAAGCAGAAGCTGGTGGGAAAGCGACAACACAGCCCACAAACACGTACTCCATAAAATATAAAATCAATCCATCAAGGAAACCAACGCGCAGCTCGGGTCCCAGTTCTCAGACGGAAGCTCCCCCGGCCGCTGACAGGAGAAACCCTCATTCCAGTTCGCCCCCAGGAGCTTCATGGCCGCGAGCAGCGCCTGCCACAGGGCGCCCAGCGGCGCGGCGACGCCCACAGCCCGCGTCCGTCCTCCCGGCACGCACGCCCCGCGCCCTCCACGCCTCTCCGCGGCTCCCACCTCCCTGAGGAGAGCGCCCGGGCCCCGCCAGGCCCCACGGACGCGCCACAGACGCTGACGCGGCGCTCAGCAGGCCCGCGACGCCGGGGAGCGCGGGGCAGCCGTCCACGGGAGCGTTCTCCTCACGCACCCGCAGACCCGCGCTCTCTCCAGTCGGCCCTCTCCGCGGCAGCTCCACGTGCCTGGCTTCAAGCCTGGCCTCCGTATGTGCTGCAGTCCACAGCGCACGCCAACGGACGACAACAAATCTAACGAAACATTAAAAAAAAATGGCCGACGCCAACTGCATAGCATACTCATAGCCTCTGTATTCAAATATGGGTGCCGGAGGGACTCTTTTCTATTGGATAAGACGGGAAGAGCAGCAACCAATCAGTAATTCTGTGCTTGCGCATGCGTAGCCACTGTCCTCCGTCTGGGCCGGTCTGCCACCTCTGGAGACCCCGCCCTGAGCTGTGGAGGACAGCGCTTTGCGCCTGCGCAGTGATGCGGCACTGGCGGGAGCGAGGCAGGAAGGCCTGGCTGCCTGAAGAGGGCGCCCCTGCGAGCCGGCGCCCGCCAGCTCCACACTCTGCAGTCCCGCATCTCACGGCTGCCCCAGAAGCCGGGCGCTGACAGCTGCAGGGCCTGCACCCCGGGACGAACAGCGCAGCCCTCGCCGCTCCTGGAGGCCCTGCCCGAGAGCGCCCCGAGCGGCCACTGCTGGCATCGCCTCCCTGAACCAGACTCGTTCTGTCCTACCCTCCAAGGGCAGCTCCCCTCAGGGGACCCCCATCAGTCCCCACCGCGCTCCCCGACTGCAGGCGGCCGCAGCCAGCACGGAGGAGCGCGGCCGCCGCAACCCCGCGACCGGGCTGAGCCCGGGGCGCGCGGGCCCTGGAGGCGGCGCGCTCCGCCCGCGCACGAACGCCCGACGCGGGGCCTGCAGGAGCCGGCCCGTGGCCCCTGGGGTCCGTGGGGTGACGGCCGCCGACCCGGACGGGGTCCCCTGCGAGTGGAAGCGGAGGCACCACGTGACCGCACGGAAGGAGCGGGGTCAGCGGCCACGTCGGTTAAAAACCTGACCCCAGAGGATTCTCGCTCTGGATGGAGCTTGGGAAGCAGCAGGACGCTGGAGAACCCCGAGATCTGCAGCCGGATAGGTCTGGATTCGAATCTGGACTCCCCCGCTCACTAGGTGCGGGCTCCTAGGAACCTGCCTTCACCTTTCCCGGCCTCATTTCCCCACCACTGCTGCAGGCCCACTTCTCACATCTCATCTCTGCATTTACAGGTTTCTTAGACTCAGCTGAAAGGCCGGATCGTGCGCCGTGTGCCCGGTTTCCTGTCCTTTTGTGTCCACTCTATCACGACAGCAGCAGTGACTCATTTTTACGTTAGCGTCGTTTCTCCTGCTGGATGGTGAACTGCACAACGCAGGGCCTTTCTGTCTCGTTCCTGCCTCTGTCTCCAGGGTGCAGCACAGTGACCGGGAAGCTGTACGTGTTCCATGAATATGTGAAGAAGGAATGAATGGGTGCCAGAGCACGGGGAACGGGTGTGCGCAGAGGGACACACGGCGCAAGCTGGAGATGCCGGGCCATAGGGGGCAGCCGCAGGATGGCATCTGGCCTCTGGGGATGAGGGACATCCTTCGGGGAGAGAGGATGATGCGCCTCACAGAAACTGCTTCCCTCCCCGCCCACCTCAAGGCCAGGGCTCTTCCTGGGGGGACGGGATGCTCTTGCAGCAGGTGGCCCAGGGGTCCCTGCCGGTGGGCTGTGGGAAGGGGCAGGAAGCCTTCCTGAAACAACAGAGCTCTTTGCAGTCCCCCGGTATTATCTTCCTGCCTGTGCCTCTGCCAAGCCCCCTTCCCGCTGTGGAACAGCCGGAACAGCAGAGACCTCATCTGTGTGTGTTCCTCTGATGCAAAGCCCCAGGGAATGGATGCAAGGACTACGTGTGGATAAAGGCACTGGGAGGACTCCTGGGCCCAAATGTGTCCTTAGCTGAAGTGTTGATGTTATTTTGGGGAGAGTAGCATGCAGGCTATGGAAAGCCCTCTTCCCACTCCCGCCCTCCATCCATCCAGCTGCCCCTCTGGGTGTTCCGAGTTCCTGAAGAATCCTTCTGGGAAGTGGGTGTGCCAACAACCAAGTCCCTGCTCTTCCTGCAGCAGGTGAGTTCCACATACACTGTGTCTTGTTCACTGGATGCCACGCCTTGGCTCTCTTTCCATACAAGCTCATGAGAGAGTGGGTGTTTTCCTTTTTGCTGTTGTAGCTCTTGGTTACACAGTATCCCTCGGAGTCAGTGTCCTGGGGAAAGGCCCCTAGTGTCTCAGGAGCCAGGCTCCAGTCCCCCATGCCCAGCTGTGTGCGTGCAGGTGGTGAGGAGTATGGAGGCAGCACACAGAGTTAGAGACTGAGTTAGGACACAGTTAGAGAACCTGACACCTTGCTGCCCACTGAGGAGCCAGGAGCTAGGTGTGGCTACTGAGCCCTGGAAACACCCGAATGGAGATGTTCTCTTCAAGGAAAACATGCATGGATGATGAGGATTTAGTTCAGAAATGTAAAATATCTTATTTTTATAATGACTACAAGTTGAAACGATCACATTCTTGCATTGTAGAGCAACGGGAGAAACCACTGCTTGGGGCACTGGCATCCCATCCTAGTTCGAGTCCTGGATGCTCCACTTTTGATCCAGCTGCCTGCTAGTGCTTCAGGGAAGGCAATGGTGTGATGTCCCAATTGCTTGGGTCACTGCCAGCCACCCCCCTGGAAGACCAGGATGGAGTTCTGAGTTCCTGGCTTCAGCCTATCCCAGACTAGTCTGTTGCAGCCATTTGGGGAATAAACCGGCACATCAGAGATCTCTCCCTCTCTCTCTTTCAAATGAATCTTTTTTATACAATGTGACTACTAGGCATGTTTTAATCCTATGTGTGGCATGTGTTTGAGGCCATTTTATTTCTATTTGTGCTTCCCCCAGAGACAGAGCTCAGGTGGGAGGAGCTAAGCCATGCTGGAAAGAAGCAGAGAAAGGAGGAGACACAGCAGTAGCCGAATGAGACTCCCTGGGCTGGGGTCAGTGCAGTGGGTCCTCACCTGTCTCCCAGGATACTCACTTCTCAGTCTCATTTCCTCATTTCTTTCCTTCGTGTGTGCAAGACGATGAAGGAGGTTAGAGAATGTCTTCGTGCAAGTCTGGGGCTGCTCTCTGTCTTCCAGCTGTGCTATTTCTTCTTCTTTTTCTTTTTTTTATTTCTTTTTTTTAACTTTTATTTAATGAATATAAATTTCCAAAGTACGACTTATGGATTACAATGGCTTCCCCCCCATACCGTCCCTCCCACCCACAACCCTCCCCTTTCCCACTCCCTCTCCCCTTCCATTCACATGAGGATTATTTTCGATTATCTTAATATACAGAAGATCAGCTTAGTATACATTAAGTAAGGATTTCAACAGTTTGCTCCCACACAGAAACATAAAGTGAAAAATAATAGATGGTTTTTTAAATGATGATGAAATCAGATCAGACTTATTGTCATGTTTAATCCCAGTGAGAGTCAAGTTGGGAATTGATAAGTTCTTTTTTTTTTTTTACAGAAGATCAGTTTAGTATATATTAAGTAAAGCTTTCAACAGTTTGCACCCCCATAGAAACACAAAGTGAAATATACTGTTTGAGTACTCGTTATAGCATTAAGCCTCAATGTACAGCACATTAAGGACAGAGATCCTACATGAGGAGTAAGTGCACAGTGACTCCTGTTGTTGACTTTACCAATTGACACTCCTGTTTATGGCATCAGTAATCTCCCTATGCACCAGTCATGAGTTTCCAAGGCTATGGAAGCCCCTTGAGTTCTCCGAATCTTATCTTGTTTAGACAAGGTCATAGTCAAAGTGGAGGTTCTCTCTTCCCTTCAGAGAAAGGTACCTCCTTCTTTGAAGACCTGTTCTTTCCACTGGGATCTCACTCACAGAGATCTTTTTGCCAGAGTGTCTTGGCTTTCCATGCCTGAAATACTCTCATGGGCTTTTCAGCCAGATCCGAATGCCTTTAGGGCTGATTCTGAGGCCAGAGTGCTATTTAGGACATCTGCCATTCTATGAGTCTGCTGAGTATCTCACTTCCCATGTTGGATCACTCTCCCCTTTACTTATTCTATCGGTTAGTGTTAGCAGGTACTAGACTTGTTTATGTGCTCCCTTTGACTCTTAGTCCTTTCATTATTATCAATTGTGAACTGAAATTGATCACTTGGACTGGTGAGATGGCATTGGTACATGCCACCTTGATGGGATTGAATTGGAGTCCCCTGGTATGTTTCTACCTCTACCATTTGGGGCAAGTCAGCTTGAGCATGTCCCAAATTGTACACCTCTTCCCTCTCTTATTCCCACTCTATGTTTAACAGGGATCACATTTCAGTTAATTTTCAACACTTAAGAATAACTGTGTGATAATTACAGAATTAAACCAGTCATATTAAGTAGAACAGACAAAAAAAACTACTAAGAGGGATAATGTATTAAGTTGTTCATTAACAGTCAGGGCTATGCTGATCAAGTCACCATTTCTCATAGTGTCCATTTCACTTCAGGAGGTTTCTTTTTTGGTGTTCAGTCAGTTGTCACCGATCAGGGAGAACATATGGTATTTGTCCCTTTGGGACTGGCTTACTTCACTCAGCATGATGTGTTCCAGATTCCTCCATTTTGTTGCAAATGACTGGATTTCGTTGTTTCTTACTGCGGTATAGTATTCTAAAGAGTACATATCCCATAATTTCTTTATCCAGTCTACCGTTGATGGGCATTTAGGTTGGTTCCAGGTCTTGGCTATTGTGAATTGTGCTGCAATAAACATTAGGGTGCAGACCGCGTTTTTGTTTGCCAATTTAAACTCCTTTGGGTAAATTCCAAGGAGTGGGATGGCTGGGTCGAACGGTAGGGTTATATTCAGGTTTCTGAGGAATCTCCAGACTGACTTCCATAGTGGCTTGACCAGTTTGCATTCCCACCAACAGTGGGTTAGTGTCCCTTTTTCCCCACATCCTCGCCAGCATCTGTTGTTGCTAGATTTCTGTATGTGAGCCATTCTAGCCGGGGTGAGGTGAAACCTCATTGTGGTTTTGATTTGCATTTCTCT